GTTTTTTTATTGGATTTATTTGATATATCTAATTTCAGAAGTTTGTATATGGGGATTAGAACATTAGTAAAAGTTTTTTATTATTTGTATTTGTTAGAAAAAAAATATAGAAGGATGTAAAAATGTTCTTGTGATGGTTTTTTATAATTTGAATGTTGTTCAGTTTACTTGACTGGTCATTAGAAGAAAAACATTTATTTCCTGTCTGTAATTATCTTTCTTAGAACAATACCATTATGACTTTCATTTGCTTCAAATATCCTATTTTACCGAATCATTTGTGTCTTTGATTAGATTTGAAGTTATTTTTTCTTCTTGTAGTTCAGAGCCTCACCAACCTGGTATTATAATAAAACTTCAGATTTTAAGATCTTAAATGTTCAAACCAGGAACCTCAAATTATCAGGTTGTACAATTTTTATTGTTTTTTATAAGTTACAACCTGTAATAATAAATTCTACCCTCCCTTCCTCAGCGTTTATCAATGGTTATTGATCTGTTGTATGATTGCTATAGCTAAAAAAAAAAATAAAAAAATAAATTAGCATATGTTGTGGTCAATTACATGTATTTTATTTGAATTTGAACATGTCTATCCAAGTTATGACTTGTAATCTATTGTTTAGATTGTCCAGCCTTTAAAAAAAAATGACTGTTTATGTATCTTTAAGACATCAGTTTCAGTTTTCAGTGTATGTTTCTTTTATTTTTTTTAATGTCAAAGGCGTAGTTTGTAGGTATTATGGATTTTATAATTATGAAGACACTCGTTTAATTTTAAGTGCCATGCTTCTTTAGGATATAAGTAATCAGGGCTCTCTACAGATTCATTTTCTTTATTATCTGTGAATTAATATAACTTCTTGGGAAAGATAGCAAAGTGGTTTCCTGTTGCCTTCTCCATGGTTTTGAATTCAGAATTTTTCTTTTCTTAGATTGGTTGTCACCCAAAACTAGAGAACTTAGTCTACTCTACAATTTAAGCTATAGCTGGAGCAGAGGTAGGGAAGAAGAGATGGATTCATGCCTTTCCCAAGGGCAATTGTGCAAAAGTGACTGCATCACATTCAGCTGGAATTTGAACTTTGCTTGTTGATTCCATTTTCAGTATTTATAACCACTACACTACCTGCACTTACATAAGAAAGGAAGTATTACTTGTTTTAAAGAGGATTTTTATTTTCTTTGTTTTTTTTTTTTCTTGATTAGCAGATTTAATTCTATAGTAATAAAACCTCAGAATTTTAATTTTTGAGCCATATCCAAAAATACTTATAAAATGAATTGTTTGAAACTAGTTTTTTAACAGAAGTTTACACTTTTTATGCATAAAATAAAAGAAAATACTAAGAATATTATTAAACTATTTTTGAAAGCAACTGTAAATTGACTTACTCAAGTTAAATTCAATTAAAAAAAATGAATAAAAATAAAATGATTGCATAATAGTAAAAAAAAAAATCATTGGTTAAATATAAATGCAATACTTAAATGCAGCGATCAATTTTGAGTTCTTCAGAAGACCAGATTGCAATCAAAAGAGCTAAGGTTGTAGTGAGGAAAAGAAAGTTATATGAAAGTGAAAACCCAAATCAAATGGCAGCCAGGAGAGCTTCCAATGATAAGAATATGCAAAGACTTCGGGACTCTCAAACTCCTGAACAAAGCTGAAGGTCCAATGAAGAGCCCCTCTGCAGGAGCTTGCTTAAATGGGCAGCTTTTAGCTAGTGTGTGTATATATATATATATATATATATATATATATATATATATATATATATATATATATATATATATATATACATACATACACACACATGCATGCACATCTATACATATTAGAGCTGTTAGGGTCTGTAGGTTTTTTAAATCTGTTGGTTTGAAGTAGATCTTTCTTTCTTTCCTCTACTAGTTTGTATAGTGCATTGTGCTATTATTGTTTTTGTGATGATTTGTGATATAAGGTACAGTCCTGCAGAGTCTGTCTATATTTCTGAGATGAGGTATTATGTACAGTATTTACATTAGTCGGACTATTGTCCTCATCTTTGTCACCATATTTGTCACAACGTTTCGGCCGTTGTACTCACCATTGGAAAATTCGTAAACTTAAGGAATCAGCACATATGCTAGGCCACAGAAATCTCCTGAGCTGACCAAGCATAGAAATAAATACAATATGGGAACCAGTAATAAGGAGTGCCAGAGAAAAGCAATGATAACAAAGTTGCAATATGAACTCTGGTAAAGACATGCAATGATAACAGCAAAATTGCAATATGAGCACTGGTAAAAAATGATGCTGAAAACAGGTTTATAATACTCAGAAGTTCATACTCAAGGACACATGGCACAGTGGATAAAGGCGTTGGTTAGATCCAGTGACAGACCCAAAGAAGGTGAGTTCAATACCTGGTTAAGGCAGTGGAGAACTTTCAGAGGGAAAATTAGCAGGAGATAACTGATAACTGACATCCATCAAACATGGCACGTGGAATTAGAACAGTCTACCCCAGTGATCGAAATAAAGGGTTCAGTTCGAAATTCCAACCACCTGAAGAAGGCCGGAGCGTACAACGGCCGAAACGTTGTGACAAATATGGCGACAAAGATGAGGACAATGTAAATAAGGTACAGTCCTGTTTTTACATTTACTGTTAATAACTCCAAGATTAGTGCACTCTCATTTCCTTCTCAGTGAATGCTGTTCACTTCTGATTACCCTGGCATTTTTTTAAATCAAAACTGGTCACATATGTGTTATGATGAACAACCAGGACGTTTAGACTGTTGTTATGCAGAATATCTCTGCAGTGTTCATGTCAAATTTTTTTTAATGTTTTTAGATGTTTTGTCAATGTACATAAATGGCCATTTTGTGCCGTCTATTATGTATATTCCTGCCTCTGTTCTATTGTTGTTGTCATCTTGCTTGATGTTAACTATATCACTTATTGTTTTAGACATGGGGGGGGTTGATGAATTTTATGTCAAGGATGGGCAAGTTTCTTTCAATGCTGACTGTAATGGTCTGTAAGTAAGATTATGTATTTAATTTTGTTATGGTTGGTGGGATTATTATTATTTGTGGGGTTTTCTATTTTTTTTTATTTTTCTTCTGTGGATTTTGTAGGTTTTGAGTTTGGCACTGTGCAGGAAATAATTTGGATATTGGAGGAGTTTGTAGATGTTTTCAATGTATTTATTTCTCTTCTTCAGGCAAGAATTAGGAACTACAGTATATATATGTATGTATGTATGTATGTGTGTGTGTGGGTACAGATATATATGAGGGGGCACATATACATGTGTACAAGTATACATAGACTATGATGTGTGTGTGTGTGTATGCACAAATATATATGAATGGGATGTATATGTATACAAAAAAAGGATCAAATATATGTATATGCCTGGGTTGGTGTGTATGTACATGTGCATGCAAGTGTGTGTGTGGGTGTGTATAGATATTATATATATATATATATATATATATATATATACACATGCACATTGAATGGGTCAAACTTGTAAAAGAATTACAAGTTAAAAATTTCACTTTCTTTATGAGATGGTGTTGAAAAGTTCTTAACCTTCCAAAACAAATTCTTATGTTTGGCTATTTGGCCAAATTTTTGGAAGTGGGTTGGGTCAAAAACATTTAGCGTCTTGTAAGTATACCAAAATTTGATTTATTTATGTCAGTACGTATATAAATAATTACCTTGAAAAGTAAAAAGAAAAGAAAAATGCCCCAGGTTTTAGAGAGCTCATTGAAACAAATTGGAAACATTATTAAATTTTATTTTGATATAATTTTTGAGAGGTCTAAACTTATTGCAAATTATCTATCAGTATTTATTGCCAAGGAATACAATATACATTGGAAATGTGGAATTCCATTATTAGAGAAATGTATGAAAAAGATTATATAAATTAAATGTTGTTCTGTACTTTAGTGAGGAAGAGTTGTCACAGTAAACTCTACAAATTACCTTCTTTTCTGTTTAAGCATTTAAATAAGTACTTTTAAAAATTACATTTGTACTGCTTTTTATTCTCAAAGAATTCAATTTTCTGATGCTAACTCACTGTCCTTAATGAATGTGCCATTCAATTGTTTTTAATATGTTCAAGATCCTTGAAGAAAACCAGATATAGTAATCCTAAACATTGCAAATATTTTCTTTTGATTTAAAATTTTGTAACAAAAATATTTTATTTATGCAATTTTATTATTATTTAGTTTTCTCTATTTTTATTTATATATATATATATATATATATATATATATATTTTAAGCAAGTCCATCAAATAAGACTTGCTTTGTGTTTGAAATGATTTTGTATTTCTCATCCTTATTGAATGTCAGTGTTTGAATTCAGACAAAAAGTAGGATTTTGTTGGGTTTCAAAGTAGGTAGACTTTCCCCTCCACATTTGAAAGATTGTTGAATGCTATATTCTTAATCTGATTCCTGATTCACACTTTTAACCTTGAATTAATCTTAAATATTTATATGTTCTTTAGGTAATGTTGTCTGATTGACCTAATATCTTTTTTTTTTTATATTCCATAAACACTTAAGAAAAAAATTAAATTTGGGGAAATACAATTTTTCAGTTTTTAACATTTTAAGAATTTGAAGTAGTTTTAAGCAGTTAAATATTTTTTAACTTGAATATTTGTTTGTTTAAGGAAACCTTGTAAATTCCCACTTACAAGTTCTGTTATACTAAAAGGCAGATGGATTAAAATTAATTTTTGACTGAAATCTGCAAATGATAACAGTAACACTTTTCAATTCAATGTAATTTTCAATAAATAGTTTTTGAATTCATTTTATTAGAAAAAAGTTTTTCTTGAAAATGATATTTATAATTTCAAGTTATTTTATTTTAGAATTTAATTTCCTACCATCTTTATTTCTATCTATCACCTAACAAACAAGTTACAAACTTACATAAATTATTATTATTTTTTTTTTTTTGTATTTATAGACAACTCCACTCGATGATATCATTTCAAGCTCAACTTCAGAATCACCTAAACCCATTTTTAGCTTCAGTTCAACAGATCCACTGGTGAGTAATATTTTTTTACAAATATTTTTACAAATATTTGTATTGTAAGAATGATTTGAATGTAGTAAAACAAAATATATCTATATAAATGAAAGAATATATTCTTTCAGAAAATTAAAATGTTGAAATGCATCTTCCCATATTAGGTGTTATGTAAATATCACCTTAATTGTGTGCTTCACATGCATATGCAACTGTACTCTGTATTCTATCAAATTTAATTTGCCTTAAAGAGTGTCTGTCTTTGTATTTTTTCAGTCTGTCTATGAATGCATGAAAAATGAATTTTTCTTTTTTAAATAACTCGCTTTATATCTTGCACTGTTCCACTTTTTAAATTAATTTAAATTAATTGATGTAAAGATAACAACATTATAAATTTATTGCTATTTGTGCAAAATATTTTTGAATGTTTTTTATCATTCACTAACCATGTCTATTTTTATTAACGATGACTTCAAATGAGTTTTGACTTGTTAGAAACTTGAAATTACTTTTGTCCCTTCTGTTTGAATTTTTTTTTTTTCCCTTAGTCTTCTATACCTGAAGCAGGACATGTTCCTTGGTGTTTGCCCATGTGCCAACATGGCTAAGCAAATGTCACGATTTGGCTTGTCTTATGATCCCCAATAATGGCTGCACGACTAGTAATTCATTCTGTCTTTATTTCCTTTCTTCACTGGTAACAGTTCAACAATTGACACATAGGTTTTTCCCTTGGCTTGCTGCTACTCTTGAAGGTCTTGTCTGCACATGTTACTTGTTGCTAAAATGACGCTTTTTTCAAATGAAACCTTCTTTGTTTTGTATCTTCACTTATGTTCTGTGCTTGATCAAGTTTCAACTGGTGATAGTTTATTGAAACATTTATTGAATATTAAATTTCTTTCATAAATTTAGAGATCATATCTTGAAAATTTGTCATCTCTTGAACAAGATATGGATAATACTGGAGAATATTTATTAGTAAAATTATTTGATTTCATTACTTTTTTAAATATCCAAAATTTTATTCACTCATTCATTAATGATCATCAAATGTAATCAATTCTTCATATCATTTTTATAAAAAGGCTCTTTCTTCTCTCTCTGCTCTGCTGAAAATGACATATTACATAATGGAGAAGACATGATTAGCGATGCATGTAATTTAAATATAAATTACCTAACTGCAAGCTATATTGCTATAACAAAACTAAGTTGGTGATTTGTGTTCAGATATCATAATTTGCTTATGAAATTAAAATTTCCATTTTTTTTCTTTTTTTTTTTTCTTTTAAATTGTACTTTATAGGATCAGCTTAACCTTTAACACACTGCATTATTAATATTACTTCCCTTTCCACTGTATTTTTTTTTTTTTTTTCAAGGGCTCTCAATTGCAGATTTCTTATTGTTAATTTCACTCAAAGTTGTTTTCTGTTGCCATGGCAGGATATGACAACACAACTATACAATTCAAATTCAAGGATCAGAGTCCCCTTCAGTGACAGGATAATTTTTTTTGTACAGCAGTTGGAGTCACATACAGAGTGATGAAGGTTAAAGTGTTACTTGAAAAGAATAATTCATATTTCTGTATGATGATTATCATATTCTGATATTGGTCCAGCCAAATAAAGTCTCTTTTTCTTATTATTTCTGATGATAGCTGCAATAATGTTGAGGACATTTTGTTTTGAACAGACATTTAACAATATTGGATTTAGTAGGTTATAGTAGAGCAGAACTATAGTGAAGAATCCAAGCATTAGAAATGAGATTTATGACAGAACCATCCGAGGAAATTTGCTACATGGACTGCATCACAAATGATGCAGTACAAGAGAACATCAGACAAGAAACAGGCCTGTTGGAAGATCTCATAACCAATGTCAAGAATAGAAAATTGAAATGGTATGGCCACATCATAAGATCCAACAATTCTTCAACTGTTATCCTACAAAGTCCCACCTTAGGTAAATGAAGAGGAAAACAAGAAAAATGGGATGACTGGAAGAAAGATCATTCATAAAAACTCAGACCTTGTCATGCAACTGAGACATGAAGGGAATTGGTCAGGTGATCACTTGCACAGTGACCCTAGGACTATACCTGCCCATAATGATGATGAAGTTATAATAGTTACAACCAAACATACATCTCACATGAGATTATAAAAGCTGTGAATACATTAGAAAGCACAATTGATAAATTGAAATGAAATTAGGCAACAAATGTTGGGTTTACATTTTATTCTTTAAAAATGAAAGTACCTATTTTGTTTCTATTTAATATCTATAAAAAAAAAATATAGCAAAATCCTTTATGATTAATGTCATAAATGATTGACAAATTTACAGTCAGGCTATTGAAATGATTAATGTAGTTTGATCATATGAAAAATGGTAAGACTATTCCCATGGTTACATGTAGACAGTAAAAACTAAAAATCAATTTAATTACTCATTTATATTTGATTCATTTACTTTTTTCACTTTTGAGGTTAATTTTTCATTCCTTTTTTTTAATTTATGATTTTTTTTTTTTTTTTTAGCTGCGGGTCAACTCTTCATTCTTAGAAATCCTACAAGATGTTGGTGCTAAGGGAGAAGTGTTTAGGGAGAAAGAGGTAAATGTAATACTCTTGCTTATTTTTTGACCTGTTGAATTTTGGGATCTTGTTGAGCAGTGCTTCTTTGTTAAGAGTTCAAATGTCAAGTTGTAAGAGCAAAAACTAAAATTGATCTTTCACTATCTGCTTATATGACTTGGTTAACATTTTCTGTGTTCATTGAAGTTGTTTTGATAATTTTCCAGCCTAAAAATGTAAAAATAATCTGATTTATTATTTATTAAAGTTGATTGAAGATTAAAAAATACATGTCAGGAGATGAAAATGAAGAATTAGAATTAAGAATTAATATGATCAGTTATTATAAAACAAAGAAATGTTTTCAGAGTCCAACCAATAAAGTTTGTTTATACAAAAAGGTGCTGAAAAGATCTTAGTTTGACCAAGAAGCCTCTATAAAAAAATATTCTTTTTAGTTATTTGGTCAAATTTCGAGAAGTGGGCTGTCTGAAGATTTTTATTTGCCATAGATTATTTCTCTTTTATTTGCAATTTTCATTAAAGGTGTTTTAATATTTTTTGTTTTACTTTATTTTTATATATATAAACTTTTTCAGATTTTTAGGTATTTGAAGAATTATGTCTGGTCTCGGCGCTTATTTGATCCAAAGCATCCGTGGATTTGTTTGTGCCACAATGACAAATTGGCAAATGTCTTCAGATGTAACAAATTTTTGATCCATGATGTGCCGTGAGTTTCTTTTATGACTCTTTCAATAATGTTTTATTATTTGTTTTTTTTAACTAGTTTCACTTTATAAAGGCTCATCTCATTTTGAATAAATTAATTAGTTTACTTATTAAAATTTTTTATTAGACATTATTTTTTTCTTTTGTATTATATATAATTTTTAACTTTGTGTGTGCAAACTGATTTTTTTTTATTCTTGTATAGAACCAATATTTCTAATATAATAATATTTTTTTTCCTCTTAGTCATCTGGTTGCAAAATTTGGTGTGGAATATCCTGGATACCGTCCAACGGTACTAAGAACTAGCAGTGATGTGGTGAGTGATATTAACATTTGGTTGCAAATGTAAAAAATTAAAACAAAATAGTCTTCATAAAAATAACTCCTTTCTTGTAAGTTTAATTCAAATATTTTTTTAAGTAGGGTTGCTGGTTATATATATAAGAAATAAATATTTAATTTTTAGGTCTGTTTATTACATGTGTGCCTAGGTTTCCAACATTTTGTTTTTCATTAACATAATAACTTGTACAAATATTTATTAAATATCAAATTATAAATAGAAAAATTTCTAAACATTCAAATGAAGTTGTAGAAAACTGTTCTATAACTTTATTTTAATGTTTTGGAATTTCTCTAATTCCATCTTTATAAAATAACTATGGTTTTGAAAATGACTATTTTTCTAGACTGACAAATAATTTTCAACAATTTGGATTATTTTGATAAACTGACTTTTCATTTCAAATAACAATCTTCCACAAAATCTTTTCTTTTTGTTTTCATGTGTGACAAGAAGTGAGATATAGGTGGTGAGAGGCTGCCAAAATGATTCACTTTCACAATTCATATGGAATCCATTTTCTTAAATGTTCCTCCATACTTTGCAAATGTCCTATGACTGTTGACTGATTGATTTTTTTTTTTTTTTTTTAGTTAATTTTGTTTTCAACTGAAGTCATTGTTTAAATGATCTTGTAAATCATCATTTCCAAAGTTATTGTTTTTTGTCTTTCAAGTCAAATTCAAGTTAAACTTTTGTAAACCACTCATAGCATGTTCTGCTTCCAAACAATCTCCATAAATTTTATCAGGTCTTCACCTCTGCTGCTCTCTAAAGGAACAACATGCAGCGTTGTATGTGTATCTTGTCTGTCACCTTTTTTCTTTTACTTAACAATGTATACAGAACATTCAGACAAAACCAGTTTTCAAAAGATGCTGGGAACTTTTGCACACACACGCCAAGAAATGCTTTTTTTCTTTCAGTGAAAGATTAGAATATTACTTGATTACTGTATATACTCGCGTATCATGTGACTTTTGAAGACCTAATTTTGAAGCTAATTTTAAGGGGGTTGTATCATACATGAGATATAAAATTAGTATATGAACCACTGGCCCTGGCTATGCTGTTGATCAAACTATATATCCATTTACAGTAGTCAAAAGTACAGTTGTATTTAAAATAAACATGATTTTGATAAAACTGATGTTTTACTTAACTATATCCAATAATAATGCATGTAATATTCACATATTAGTATCGTATTATAAAATACAAACATAGCAAATATGTATTTTTCCATTGCTTACGTTTATAAGATGTTTAGGTGTTTCTCTTCAGTTGTTTATGGGTGTATGCATTTACACAATGAGTATAGCATTAATAACGATACTTTTATCATTCAGTTTTACTTTTTTAAACTTATTTAACTAGATGATGAAATAAAGAGGTAGAAGAAAAGAGGTTCGACTATTGTAAAAAAAAAAATAAACTCGTGATACATGAGAAAATCATTTTTTGTAAGTAAAAATTTGGGGGTTGTACGATATGCATTATCATGCATTACACAAGTATATACAGTAATTTTAATAGGAATATTGTCAAGTTGGTATTCAGTTTCTTTTTTGTTGATAAATTTATTATTCACAAAAAATATTCTTAAAAATTTTATAAACAAATTAAATTTATATCATAATTTCAATTAGGTTTATTTGCAATAAATTGCAATTTCAAAGCTTATTTCAAATGAATATGGGGTGTTGTTACTGCATAACACAATGTAAAAAGTCTCTTAATGCTTACTAAAATAAATTTGTACATTTCTTCTTTTAGCCTCCCAAAACAGCTAGTGCTATTGCATTACCACTTCATCGTCACATGTCCTCCCCTGGTCGAACTCAGTCAACACCCTCAGATATTACAAGCAGTACTGCGGATGTGATTGCACCAACATTTACAGATCATATAGAAGAACAAACATCTGGCAGATCTGAGGAAAGTGTTCCGGCTGCTACACTCCGCAGATCTGAGGAAAGTGTTCCGGCTGCTACACTCCGCAGATCTGAAGAAAGTGTTCCGGCTGCTACACTCTGCAGTTCTGAAGAAAGTGTTCCGGCTGCTACACTCTGCAGATCTGAAGAAAGTGTTCCGGCTGTTACACTCTGCAGATCTGAGGAAAGTGTTCCAGCTGCTGCACCCAACAGATCTGATGAAAATGTTTTGGCTGCGCCCAGCACATCTGAAGAAAGTGATCTCCCTGCTGCACTCACCAGAGGTAGGGGAAGTGATCTCCCTTCTGTGCACAGAAGGTCCAGGGAAAGTGAGCTTCCAGAATCAAGCTCTCGACCAACCAATAGTTTTACGTTAACACTAGGAATGAAAGATGAGGAATTTCTCAGCTTTCAGGTAATAATATTTACATTTTTCACGCCATGTACTTCCTTTTATGCATAAATTTTTTTTTAATTGTCTTTATTTTTTTAAATTTTTTTTGTTTGCAAAATGAAATGACAAGTTAAAGAAATGAAACACAATGCTAAATAACAAGGTGTTTCATGGACAATGTTTTTGAAATAGCTGTTACGAGTTCTGAAACATGAGAAGCTGGAACTCCATTTAAAAGACAGTCATAATGGAGTTTCCTGCCAACAAAATAAAAACTGGTGATTTACTTTCGATTTTTAACTAATAAAAAAAAAATCCCACTCTTAAAATTTAATTTCTCAAAATTTCATGAAAATATGTAAGCGGGTGGAAACATGTAAAAAAAAAAATATATTTTTTACTAATATTTTCTAAAAAAAAAAAATTTCCAAAATAATTTCATTCATTTCTGAATATTTCCTGAAAGTTTCATTAAAATCCGACAATTATTTGAATTTTGCAAGAATTTTCAAATCAATATGTGTTTTCCTCGGGGAAAAGTGCAAAATAAAACAAACCTTTTTTTCTCTCGTTGACCACTGTCATAAAAAAAAAACAAGATTTTTAACCAAAATTTTGAACGTGCTAGAAAGGAGTAAAAAAAATTTCAAGAAATAATGAAAAAATACTTTGGTCTTTCCTCTTAATAATAACATAAACATTTTGATGACAAAACTTTGTTTTCATTGCATTTGGGGCCTTTTATCATCATGTTATGCTGCTTTTTTTATGTGACCAAGTGGAGGTACCTATTCTAAAGTATTATTTTTCTCCATTGATTATAATTTGAAAGTCTTGCAATAAAATTTGGTTTTTATTTTTCTGGAATTTCTCTTTTGTTTAATGCTGTCATTTGTTATTTTAGAGTGAGGAACCGGTGGATGATGTATATGTGGAATATGAAGTGATGTCAAATTCAACTAGTTTCCATATGTCTGACAGTGAAGAGGAACACCACAAAGTTTCAATGGTGAGAGAAAAAAAAAATCTTTCACATTTTCTCTTGTCACTGATTCTCATCTCTTTTCTTGCATGCTTATTCAATGTTCTTTTCAAACATTTTTACACTTTTACAATGTGCATTGTGGTGTAACAGATAACAGTTTGGAATGAGAAATCTGTGAGTTGAGTTTGAATTCCAGTTTGGTTTATTACTTGTGCACAATTAGCCTTGGGAAAGCTATGAATCCATCTCTTCTCCTCTTCAGCTATGGGTTGAATAGCAGGACAGACTAGGTCCTATAGCCTGGATTGGCAAACAAATTCTACTGCAGAAAGAAAAGGCAGCCTCCTGTGTCATTTTGATTACTCTTCAATGTTTCTCTTTTTTTCTTGTTCTTTCACACTCAGTAACATTTGTGCCTTAGTGGCTTGAATCCATTGCTTGGGATGAAAGGATATATATATATATATATATATATATATATATATATATATATATATACGAAATTAATTCCTCTGATGCATAATATCAAATTTTTTTAACTTTAAATATGTGTCAAACATTCCATTTTGTGGAGCCCTTTTTATCTACATCTGCTACACTGTGGGTTATCTTGTTTTAATACTGTCAGTTTAACTCCAGCACAAAAACTCATCAAAAAAAATGTTAATATTTGCTGTCCTATCTAAAAGAGATGTTATTTTTCTATAACAAAATTCTGGCTTAAATTGCTTCTAAAATGTTATGTTAATAGTATCCCCTTTTCATTTTCAGGATATGTTAGTGATTTGCCAAGACAGTGACATTGAATGTTATGCTGATTACAGTGATACAGGTTCAGATACAGATGTGGAACTCTCAGAAGCAGTAAGTATTTTTTTTAATAGTAGGTGATATAAAAACAAAATACAACTTTTGTGCTATGCATGATAAAGCAAAAAATCTTTGGAGCAACCCTACACTGTTTAAGATGCCTGTAAAATGAAAATGATGTCTATTACAGATAAATTATAGATAATAATAATCTATTTTAGTTGTACAATTTCAAGCAATTTTACAAACCCTTGACAGGATTTAGAATGTTAAAATACTTTAAATTTGAGGAAGTCTTTTGATTTGAAACTGACAGAAATATGTAAATAAAGTTTAGTGCCTTATATTAATAATTGGCAAACTTTCAGATCTGGGAACCAACTTTTTGTGTGCAAAAAATGAATTTTTAACTTTCTTTCATAAAGAACGTACCATTTTAAATATAATTTTTTTGTTAGACATGGAATATGAAATCGTTTGTGTAATACTAAATAAATCTAATTCTTCATGTTATTGTAAACTTTTTCAATACCTTTCATTTCTCCTTTGTAGTGAGATGTTGAATTTATATAAGCCACCTATTAATATTTTCTCATATAGTTGTAGATTATTTTAAAGATCTTTGTCAATTATTGCATCATGAATTTTAGAAGTAAAATCCTTGTTGGTTATTATCTTAGAGTTCTTAATAGATCATGTTAACTGTGCTGACTCCTACCTAAGATTGAACTCATCATCCTTGGCTAGCAAATTAGACTTCTACTCTTCAGCTTAATGGATATGTTTTAAGCAGTGGCAGTAGCTTATTTCCCTTCCTGCCAAAGTGGATTTAACCATTAAGCAATATTTAATTTTTTTGAAATTTCTTCTCAGGGAACATTTTACCATTCTTTGGTGAAGTGCTGTCACTCTGTTGATTGAGCAATATTCTGTTTTAACAGATCAGTTGGTTCCAGGGCAACATCTATTCTGAGGTGTGATATCAAGTGGGGAATCAATTTTTCTCAATATGCAATAAACTATGGGGTCAGTAAAAGGGAGGAACAGAAAATCATTTAAGAGTCAGAAAATGTAAAATTAATAAACATGGTGATCTTAATAAGTTCAGTGGGTTCAGAAGATTTCCTCATGTCCCCTCCCCAGGTGCCTAGGAGAATGAAGCAAAAGGCGGAGAAACACTGAAGGAAAACAAGACAAGAAAATTTTGACAAAGAAAATAGTTTTTATTCAGAAATTGCAAAGTGTTGTTGGCTTGAAAGTTCAAGAAAGAAAAATAAGATTCAAAAGAAACTTGCTGGCTTCTGACTAAATTGTTTCAGATTATAACGGAGAATATTTTGACATTGACACATGATCTATTAAGATAAAATTGGCCAGATTGAGATGCAGGAAACTTTAGAGAATTTCTAAATATACGGAGACATAACATCATAAATCATGTTGTTGGGTTCCGTATGCTCCTAATTTCTTGGTTGCTGGTGATAAACCTCCCCCACCCTTATCTGTTTCCTGGGAAGATGTGCCAATACTTTGGCTATCACTATATCTCTAATTTTCAAAGTTATTAACAAAATTATTGTGCTTACTGATCATGTGGTTTTGTAATTCCACTAATGTAAAGTTCCCTGTTTGTCAAAAATTGTTAAAACAGCTCAAGGCAATCTAGATTGTCTCCATTGTTAATTTAAATCATTCTGTTCATAATTGTACTTGGCCATTTGGAATGGTTATGCAATCTCTTAATGAAGTTTTTGGTTCTTCAGAAACGTCTGTAGTCTGTAATATTTAATTCTACAAATCTGTATTTATTTTCAAGTTTGAATTTAGATGATATCTTTTTCTGTTATTTTACTTTCTGTATTGTTTCAAATTTATTTAACGGGTTTATATATAAAATTCTTTGACGTTAGTCCATCCATCACACCCTCTAAAATAGCCATAGACCGATCAAAACCAAATTGACCAGTTGTATGCTGCATGCTCAAGAGTAAGAAATCTTTGTTAAAAAGGAAAAAAGAAATTTAAAAAAAAAATGTTGTTTACCATGAAGTCCTATAAAATTAAAGAAATTATTAAACCATAAAGTAGGGCTTTTGCCAAAGTATTTATCCAAACAAATTAGCTTATTCAAATTTCATTGATTGGTTTGGGAAATTTATTGACATGCAGAGTTTATAACTCTTGACAAAAAAATGTTAGCAATAACTTCAACAATACTAAAGGATACTGTAAGGATTTCAACACGCATCAGCATGTTGCAAAAATTCTAGTAACAACTTTATAAATGTAATTGAAGCCTAGATTTTCACTTACAAGTTTATCATATTTTTATGTGATTTTACTGCTTCATAAGCAACACCAGTTTGACTAGTGATACTTTTGCAGTATTATGACTGAGTATCTGCTTTGATGAATTTGTATAATTACTTTTCATTCAGGTATTATAAAATTTCAATTTTCCTTTTTCTTTTAGGATAAATGGTGTTGTTCAAACTGTCACCTCTATAATTCACCTATCCATCGACTTTGTGACCGATGCTGGACACTGCGTCCTGGCTGGCTCCCTGACCGTGATAAGCAAAGCTCCCCTAAACCCAAAGACAGCTGTGAACACAGCTCAAAACAGCTTCAAAATCAGATTAAGAGTTCCTTAGAGAATCTAAGATCAAAGGTCAAAGGTGATAATTCAAGTGAGGATGTTAGCAGTGATGTCAGTTTGCATTCAGATAACCTCACTGGATTATCACGACCGCCATCTCCAACTGATGACTATAAAGCTTTGGTCAAATCTCCAAATTCGGAAAATGCGGTTGTCAAAGACATTTCTTGCAATGAAACTTTAGACTTGCGGACGACACTATCAAATATTTGCCATTTCACTGAATCGGAGGTCCCAGCTCGGCATACACGGAACCAAACAAGAAATCTGAAACGTAGTTTGATCTCAGAGTCGGACGACAGTGATTATTGTTCCAAATTCCCCAAAACATCATCGCCTATGAAGAGTATTGTTGCTCCAGGTCTGTGCATAATTTGTTTGCTTAATCCTAGAGATGCTAGTTTGATCCATGGTGCTTCAGGGCACCAAATTTGCTGCCTTAGTTGTGCCAAGAAATTAAAACAGAAAGGGAGCAAATGTCCTGTTTGCCGACGAACCATTCAGAAAGTTGTGCGCAATTATTTGACTTGAGGCACAGATCATTTGGAAAGAAAAAAAAAAAACAGATATTTTAATTTTGATACTGAAAAAAAATGTCATTCATTTGGGATAACAACCAAGACAAGAACAATTTCTTTTTTAATTTAAAATACAGATTTTTAAAGAAATTTGTCATTTCAAGACATTCAGGATCAACCAAAACGAAATGCCATTCCCAGTAAATAAGTTATCCTTGTTGGAATCATACAATATGCTTTGTTGCGTTCAAGCATCATCATCATAAGCTGGGTATGAACAATTCATTTTTCTTTTCTTTTTTTTTTTTTTTTTTTTTTTTTTTTTTTCCAAATAAATATTAAAACTAATTTATTCTTGTGGATCTCAACTTCTGACTTTTACAAAGGATATAAATAAGAAAAGTAAGAGAGAAATACATTTTATATATTTTTACTCTTGTTTACCCTTGTGCACTTACAAATAAAATTCTATTTTTTCTTCATAAAATACAGCTATATTTAAGGATTTATAACAATTTTTAAAGGCTTCTTTTTGGGCTTTTTACTGAAAAACATTTTCACTGCTTGAAAAATTAGCTTTCTCTTGTTTTAGACTTTAAATTGAAAAATAATTTTTCATAACTTAAAATATTACAAAAGTTGATGAGCATTCAAATTAGAATAAATTTTACCTGTTTTAATTTACAATTAGGTTCATGGGGAATTCCTGTAAACATCTTTTTAAAAATTGCAAAATAATATTAAGACATTTGTTTTACTAAAAGAGGGGGAGAAAAATGTTATTCCAATGTCCCATTGTTATGGAGACATTTGTTTATATGATTGGTGGAAGGCTACATTTTTCTTTTCTTTTTTTTTCCTTTTCTTTTTTTCTTTTCTTTTTTTTTCTTTTCTTTTTTTTTCTTTTCTTTTCTTTTTTTCTCTTTTCTTTTCTCTTTTCTCTTCTCTTCTCTTTTCTCTTTTCTCTTCTCTTCTTCTTTCTTTCTCTTCTTTTTCTTTCTCTTCTTTTTCTCTTTTCTTTTTTTCTTCTCTTTTTCTCTTCTCTTCTCTTTTCTCTTTTCTCTTCTCTTTTTCTTTTCTCTTCTCTTCTTTATTTTCTTTTCTCTTCTCTATTTTCTTTTCTCTTCTCTATTTTCTTTTCTCTTCTCTTCTTCTCTTCTCTTCTCTTCTTCTTTTCTCTTCTCTTCTCTTCTTCTTTTCTCTTCTCTTCTCTTCTTCTCTTCTTCTTTTCTCTTCTCTTCTCTTTTTCTTTTCTATATCAACAGTAAATATTTTTTTATTATTTATCCCCTGCCCCACTCCTATTTTGTATATATTTCACTCCTGATTGAAAAATGTTCACAAAATCTTCTTTTCCCTTTAAAAGCATATTTATAAACAGTATTTCACAAAACACTGACCTTTATTTATAACATACATTCAGAAATACTTTCATTTACATGAATCATGAAGAGTTTTTTATTTTTTTTATTTTCTCTTTATTTATGAAAATATGCTGATTGTTTTCCTTGAATGCATCTTTAAATGCACACACATTTAAAGAAAAACTTAAATTCTATTTGGGACATGGTGTAAATGTATTAAAAGTACTCCCTTTACTTTTCCTAAAAATCAATGGAAAAGATCTCATTGTACACTGTGTTTGCAATGTCAATAAATTTAAATCTTATTTAATGATATTGTTGTCATATTTTTTTGTATATTTGTATTATGTGTGTAGTTGTCTTACTACATTCATCTGTGAATGTACAAAGAAACAATATTGTGCTGCTATGTCTTTAATGATCCTCTCTTATTTTTGAACATTGTGCAAAATAATGCTCAAACAGTGGACATATTTGTTCAGACTTAAAGCTTGAAAGGCTTTTTGTTTAAACATCGTTTTATTGAAGTCTCATCTTCGAAATTGTTACCGCTTGTTATAATAAAAAGAAAAACTTGATATATTTGTTTTTAATGTATGCTGAATTACCATAATAGACTTAAATATAAGTTTTTTCATTTATTAGGCTAGCATATATTCATTGTTTTTGAATTTTTTTTTTTTTTACAATATATATTGTTAAAGTTTTTATCATAACTGATGAACAATGACTGGCTATTGCCTAGTTATACAAAATCTTCAAATGTTTACTTTTTTATCTGTTCGAAATAAAGAAAAATAGATGTAGTATTAAGATAATCTTGAACCAAATGCAAATATTGGAGGAAGAGGGATTACATAAAAATTCTGTTTGCTTTGTTTAAAGTCATTTTATTTGTTTAGTCTTGTCTTTCACTGCTTTGGGATGTATGACAATAAAAAAAATATAAAATATTAAAAAAAAATTGTTTTCTATATTTCTTAACAAAATCCCCAATTCCTTCAAGTTGAAAGACAATTCAAACTTAATCTGCCTTTAAAATACTATCAAAACATAAGTAATATACATAAAACAATTTGCATTATAAAAGCATGACATAAAAATACCAAAAAAATGTTTTTTCTTGTCTTCTAAAGCAAATTTGGTGTAATTACTCTTGAGACCATGACAAAATCTTTTAAATAGATACAAAAAGTATTTATACACTGTATCAACTTACAACCAAATCTTCAAATGCTTTTAGTTCTACTGACAACCATTCAAGCTGCCTATGGAAAAACTTGACTCTTTCCATTGTGATAATGCTGATGATTACATAAAGTAATAAAGCTTTATTGAAATTATTGGATCATTTGTTAAATGTCTTGTTACATTATTAATATCCTTATTTTTACTGTTAAGAGAACATATTCTTGTGTGATATTCTCTTGTAAATGATTTTTTTGCATGAAATGAAATCTTGTCCTGAAAATATAGAAAAATTAATTTTCAGTAAATATTTTAGGTGCTAATTAACTTGTTTGGTGGGATTTCTTTTCTTTTGCTCTCCAAACATTTGCTAAAGTCAAAACCAGGAAGAATTTCTTGACTAAAAAAAAAGAAAAATAACTAATTTGTCATCATGAGATACTTGTTTTTTTTTTCTCACCCATATAAGGGAATATTTAAAACAGTTTATTTAAAAGAATGTTTTCTTTTCTATTTGGATAACATGTTGTTATTGTGAAAACATTTTGTCTTTTGTAATGAGAGCAAATGTTAAGAGTTGTCACTAAAGCATTTTATAGTTTGTTTTATTTTACTTGAGAATTACCAATATTATACCACTCCTAAGCCTTTAGACCAGGGATCAGCTGTATTTGGCCCATGAAGGATTTTAGACTACCCTACCAACTTAACTGTAATTAAACTTATCTCAATTACTGTACTCTTATTTTTTTTTTTCTTTTTTTTTTTCTTTCCTTTCCAGAAGACAAAAAAAGACTTCTGAAACAAAAACTAGCCCATGGAAACTAAGAAAAGTTTATTTTGAGTGCCAAAATTTTAATGAAAGCTGGATATATAGCTATTTTTTCATTGAACACTTCGAAAAAAACGCGTTTGCTTAATTTATCAAGAAACAATTGTCATAAAGAAAGTTTCTTCAGTCCAGGGTAGCTTTCTGGATGATCTGAGATTGAGAAAATTTATTATTTGATATCATGGCCCTCCTACAAGACACTGCATAGCTGTTTAGCCTGCTCTCTCAAAAACCTTGTCAACCTCTGCTTTAGACTGAAATACATATCTAATCTCTTGAAGAGTTTTTCTGAAGTTTTCAACTTAGAACAAATCCCGTAACAGAAGTTGATGCTGGATCATGAAAATCAAAGAATTTAAACAACGTGAAATACTGGGTTTAACAAAAGCACAAAAAAAACTTAATCATTATATGAAGCCAGTTTTTTTTCACGTCATTGGTTATTTTATTTTTTTATAAAATAATTTTTAATTTTAAGACTGAATCAAAAATATTTGGAGATTTTGTTTCATTTGCAAGAATCAGTCTCTACTGAACTTGCAAATCAATTTTGCAAAATCAGTGTTATAATTTTTGCTCAGTGTAGAGTTTTTATAGCTATAAAAACTCTACACTGAGCATTTTCTAGCAATGATTCTAGCTATATATATATATATGTGTGTGTGTGTAGATACAATGTCCCAGTTTGAAGAATGAAATCTGGCAAATTCTGACTGTCCATCCTGTGTATTTGTAATTTTTTTTTTCATAGGATGTATAAAGAAAACACCTTTTGTGAACAAGTTCACATTTTAATGTAACGTTTTTTTATTGATAATTTTTTTTTTAACCCATTAAGGCCAGAAATGTCCAAATGTACCTGCAAGTTTTACACACTTACAGTCTGGCATTGCCTGAATACACCCATAAGTTGGGTAACACTGTATTTTAATATTCGAGATATCAGGAATTTACAATGCTGTAAATTTCCAAAAGCAAATCTCATCACCAGTAATATGAAAGAGTTTAAGTGAACTTCAAAGACAATATTTAAATATTTGTACATAAATCTATTCAACTGCCTTTTACCATCTTTTAAACAACTTCATGATTCCATCCTCCCAGAATTTGTCCTATTTCAGGGTTATGAGACAGCCTAAGTAGTTTTTACAGGCCTACAGAGAATTTGAAGTTCTTCCCATGAAGAACATTTTGTTGATATGATTTCAGTTGTAGTTATAGACCATAGAGTGAGAGGCATGTTTTGAGATTATCTACCTTTGATTTCAAGACAAAAAAAGAGAAATTCTTCCATTAACAGTCAATCCAGTTCCCTTTTCTTGTGCCACCATACTTTGCAGCATAGTCTGACACAATTTACAAAAATGGACCAGTTGTTAGGATCAGATTCCTGTGTTCATTACTTGGTGATTGAAACTTACATGTCAGTATTCTAAGTAAAGGTGTGCTCTATACTCTGTACATGGCAAATACAGGATTTCATGTTTTTCTAAATCAAGAAAGCTGAAGGGATTTTAAACTTATGCATCTAGAAAAATATTTTATTCAAATATTTTCTTGAAGAAAAAAAAGATCAATGTGGTACTGCAGAAAATCTGTACTATTGGAAAAATAAGTGGTTTAATTGAAATTATTTCTTGCTAATGGTAAATGTTTCATTATTGCAAGCTCTGTTTTATAGAAGTAAACCTCTATACAAAATATTTTTTTTTTATAACTGAATAAAATCCTTAATTTCAAAAATGTACTTAATGATAATTTTGGCAAGAAGAAACAACTTGATGATTTACACATTCATAATAATGTATAATTTCATTTTTAAATGTCATGTTCCTTCAATGAATAATTTCATTTTTAAATGTATAATTTTTTTTATAATTTTTAATGTATAATTTCATTTTTAAATGTCATATCCCTTCAAGATGTAAGCCATCCTCACAAATTCTTTTTTTTTTATTATCTTTGAATTGCTATGATTTCTTGGGAAAGATAATGGAATAGTTTCCCTGTTGTCTTCTCTGTTGGGTTTCAATTCAAAATAATCCTTCTCCTAAACTGGTTGCCACTCAAGAAAAGAGAGTCCAGTCTACTCTGTTATTTAACTCATAGCTGATAGAATATTGCTTAAAGAAAGAATTCTATGAAATAGTTTAAAGCATTATTCTCTCAAATACCAGTGAAGTTCAAGAATAATTTTATTTTACACTGGTAAGCACTGTTTTTTATCTACATTCATAACCATAAAATTAATCTTGAATTTCATTGGGTATCAGGATTAATGTCACAGGGAATCATGCTCTAAACCATTTGATAGAATATTGTTTAAATTTTCTAAAGTGGGAGAAAGAATTTATGAATTCAGTAGGTTAAGTCTAAGTCCTCGTGGATAGTTTTTATTTTATTTTATTTTGTATTTTAAGTTTCAGTGAAATGAGGTATCAAATATAGCAGGAAAAAATAGAAACTATCACATTTTTTTTAATTGTGATTTGGGATTTTTATTGATTATAAATGACAAACTTTAAAAAATAGATTTAGTTGATTTTTGCTATGTTTTGAAATTGTATGCATCCACCATGGATCCTGCCATACTCACATAAAAAAAAAAAAACAAACAGTCTTGTTAATAAAAATTATGCTTTTTTAAGTTTTTTAAATTTGACTTTTACAAAATTCAGTAAATGAAATACACATAGTAAGAAAAAACAGGAGTTTCAAATCTTTAAGCCAGTATGTATTGACAGCTCTTAATATAAATTGTTAATATTTTAAACTGATAATTTTCTGTGCCTAATTTTCAGCTTTGATAGTTCAACAGTTTTATTAAATATTGATTATAAAGTTATTTATATTATCTGAGTATAATGTATTTTATTAAGATCAT